ATTTTCTAAGAGAGGTCTAAAATCAAATCGAATGGTAGGGAATGCAATAAGAAGACATGCTAGTGTCCAAAATTTCTAGATCTTACGGGCGTTCTGCAGTTCATACATAGAAATGTATCTATTTGTGTAGGGTGTGGACCTAGACTGAGTCTGAGTGAGATATTGCTGGCTGTTTGTCTTGACTTCTCAAAGCTCTTTTCTTGAAGTTTAAATGACACTACGTGACATAGTGTATGTGAGCATGCTTTGCAATTCTATTATAGAGATTTCTTTGAATGCTAGCATGAGGATTTGTTAATGGCTCCTAAGAAGGCAATGGAATCCTCTTAATTTATTTACTCTCCTGGGGTAGTAAGTTTAAGTAAGCTTAGACAAAGTTAATGATTCGTTATTAGGATTTGAATTTTGGCCTCCAAAAACAATACTGTTTTCTTAGGACTTTGTATTCCTCTGAGTGCTACATGGCTGGGAGGCAGAGGGCAACTAAAAGGTCATTTACATTTTCTTTTCAATCTTAGTAATACACTGGAATCAAAGAATCATAGTTGTGTAGAGGCCCCTTTAATTGTTTTAGTTGTTGAAATAGTGCTGTTTATCAAACAGTAAATATATGCTAGATACTACATTATTAAAGATATTGTAGGCAAGTCTCATGGTTTAAGTCTTACTCTAACTGAATGTGTTAGGGAAACTAATGTTGCCTTCATCCACTAGTTAAAAATTCACTAAATTTCCAATCTGTTTTAAATAGTCCTTACAATCAGTATTCAAAATTGGTCTTCAAAACCTCATGGACAGATTGCTCATTTCTGAAACAAACTTTTCTTACTGACTTTTCTCTCCCTGCAGTCATGTCAGGGAGTATTTGAAAAGGTGTGATGTCCTTTTCATCTGGTGATGAAAAGACTGGTGAAAGTTGAGTTTCTCCGTTTCAGCACCCTGTTGTCACGTTTAGTCCCTGCCCCTTCCACCTGGGGATACCAACTATTTGTGACTGACATCTGCAGCTGGTACAATTTATGCCCTGCTCTGATAGACCTGCTCTGCTCTGGCTGGCTGCACTTACCCCATTTGGCTCCAAGAAAGTCAGACCCCGGTTTCTGCCCTGATTCACTTCCAGCCTCTTCCTGGGGCTCTTCTGCATTGTCCTGTTGGGCTACACAGCAAGTTTGCTGGTTCTCAGCTCGATATCCCGGTCATGTTGGCTAGTGCTTGCAACATAGCAAAACCAACCCAAGAGCCTGTCTTTGTCTGACTACTTCTCCTTCTCAGGGCATGAGATTTAGCTGTATTCCAAGACTGTGTGGGGGTAGCCCAGGAGTGAGCTTCTTCCCAAAATTTAAGAGACTGAATAGCGTACTGGTGGTGCTTGCAACTAGCACAAGCCCCATTCTGCTCCTAAGGTTACTCCCGTTTACCTGATGTTCCTCCTTATCTCTTGGACAAACCTGGGAAAGTCAGGACACGCATCTGCTGGAATAGTCATTCCACTTCGACTTCTCTTTCCATTTCCCCAGTATTCTCTGCAGCCAGAAAAGGAAGAGTGGGATTTGGCCGCACAGCCTTTTCCTGTTGGCCCTGCCTAGTCTGACTCTCATTACCCTAAAGGAGGAGCCAAATTAATTTTGACACCTGTTTCTCAAAATAATGATACCTGGTTTGAAAGGCTCACACGTGCAGAAAAATCAGATTTTTGACTCTCAAATCCTGAAATTATCTTCATTTTTTTTTTCTTTTTTGTAGTCCATGTTTAAAAAATCCTAATCCTCCCGCTCTAACTTCCCCATTCAGTTAGGTGCTTTGGGTGAACTATAATAGAGATCTTGTTCTCAGAAATGCACAACAGAAAAGGACTTTGACAATTTTCGAAATGTGTCCCCAGTAAACTGAGATTCCAGGTACAGTGGTGGAGAGGATGGGCGTGATCCCTACCCTCACAGAGTCCACGTTCCACTTGTGGGGAGTGGCTACAAGGTAAGTAAATATAAATAAAATAAGTCGGAAGTAGTGTTGCCAAAAAAGTGAATAGAATGTTGAGGTAGGGAATATTGAGAGGTTTGAAGAAATTAGGTGGTCCTGGGTTCTTTTGTTTATATTTGAAGAAACTGAGAGTTAGAACTTTCCAAATATTAATCATTTGGTTACTGAGAGTCAGGATTGGAGACAGAACTCCAGAATCCTTTGTGAACTGAACCCACTTCACAGGTGACACTTAAAAAATAATAATAATAATTCTGGCATGAGTGCAAGTCAGACTGCTCTGTATAAAATACGATGCTATAAAAGATTCACAAGGCCTCTGGTCCAGTTAACTAGGATGCGCGCCACCCCCATCAGAACTTATGCATTCCATACCTTTGTGTGTTTTGTTTTTCATTCCTGGAATGTCATCTCCTCTCACTTCTAGGCATTATAATTTTTTCCCAGCTAAGACACATCCTTATTCATGAATCTGGTTCTGAATACCACATCTAGAAATAAGCTCTCAGCTCCTGCAGTTACCTCATGTGGCATTTTTCACCTACTGCCTGAATTGCTGTTTGGTTTCCCACTGAGTTGAAATCATTTTGTGGTCCAAATACTGTATACTGTAAATGTGTATAGTGCTTTTGCTCACAGTTATTGGTAAATATTTGGTGAATAAATACATGAAGTATGTCATGAAAACCCATGATTCCAGATTCCATAGAAATTCCTGGTACATAAATGTTTCAAGGACCTCATAACCTAATTCAGTTAAAGAAGGATATAGTTGCTGCTTCTGTTTACAGCAACATCGAATGCATGCGAGAATAAAAGCGCAAGGAATCATAAACATAAATACATGACTGACTTTATAAATAAGGAGATGAGAGCCAGGTGTGGTTAGTGAAGGGATCCAAAGGCAGAAAGACTCGAGTTTAAACCATTCTTGAAGTACAGCCTGAACAGGTTTTGTGATGCCTTAGAGAAAGTGCCTGAGGAGAAGCTTTAGAAATTGCAGAAGTTTTGTCAAGGATGAACACAGGTTCTATGTAGAGTATATTAAGTTGATAAGCCTGAATGAAGTATTAGCTGGAGAATGTAGAGGTTGGGGAGGTGGAAGCTTTGAAGTCTGTGATTATATTCAAAGGATAATTGGGAGCCATTGTTGGCTTCTGAGAAGGGGAACTTGAAATAACATTTAGGGAACACTCCTACTCCTATCCTTTGCTCATGCTGTTTTCCCATCTGGGAGATTTCTTTTCCCTTCTTTCCACCTCTCTATAGCTCATTTTTCTTCAAAGATCGATTCAGGCCCCTCCATCTCTGAAGCTTTTCTGATGATTCTAGTCAATATGCATTCTGTCTGTCTTTCCTTTTCTCTTTCTCTTTCATTGTCTCTCTCCCCTCCTCCTCCCCCACTACATTCACTACAAAATTACCACCCTTCTTTACTCTTTCTTCTCAATTTGTAATTGACTCCTTAAAGTATTTTTTAAATTATAGGGTCTTCTTCAGTATTCAGAGGTTCTTGTGTACATAGATGGAAAATAAGGTCTCTGCAGGAAACTACCATATATTGTGTTCTTGTACACTCCTTCTAGGATAGATCTAGGCACATGGATATTTAATATCTGTCTTTAAGTTGCACTGGGAAGACCTCTGACCCAGTACCAACTCAGAGATAAATGCATTTTAAGGGTTAGCGGGGACTTAGAGTACTCTCCGAGCTTGTGCCAGGATCAAATATGAAATCAGTACCAGTGGTTTGTATTATTCTTTTGACCCTCAGTGGTGTTTCCTAGACTGATCACGTGCTACAGTCACTATACCTGGTTCTGAACGATACTGACCTGCCTCCAAAGGAAAACAAAATGAAACAACAGCAGCAAATATTTTTTCTAGGTGAAATGTTTTCACTGTTAAAGATTTTTGAAGAGTTATTGGCTCCTGGGTGGTAACTAATAGACAAGTTAAATTCCCCTTTGCAGAAAGGCTTCAGTCATGTGAAAGCCAAGATTGTCAAGCATGATGCACCATTTTTGTAAATGAATACATAATTAATTTCATTGCTCTTGGGTACATACAATTCCTTGCATACTGTGTATTTAATATATCAGAAATTAGTAGAAGATTTATTTTTTCTGGTAGTAATAATTAATAAGTAAAATTTGGTGTACAAATAAATTCAATGTACTGACTATTCTGTCAAAATCTAGCATCTTTAAAAAAATCTGGTGTCATTATGATTCCCTTTGTATTTAGTTTCTAGAGATAAGAAATTCTAATTTGAAATCAACGTTTTGTTAAGCTCACTAGTGTTTAAAGAAAGAAATCATTCTGATACTAACTTGGTAGACATCATTACATCACTTAGGTAACCACTGTCTTTTTAGGTATAAAAGAAGTAAGCTGTAAACCTTGTTTGTCAGTTACCACTTCTCTGTGCAGGGCGGAAGTGTGTTTTTACTCAATTATTTTTTAAAAAGCAACAATATATTCACATATGTGGCATAAGGATTAACTGATGAATATCTGTAAGGCCCAAATACCATGTGACTGTTGTGTAATATAACAAGTGATCAGTTATGTCTTTGAAAATATAGAATGCTATATAAATGCAAAATATGACTTTTTTCAACCACATTTTACCAAAGTACAGAGGTGAGATTGGATTTGTCAGATATCTGCAGTGGGTATCAAAAATCCTTGGTAACATACTAGTTTAACTTTTATATTATTTTAGAAATGTGTTCGATAGCTGAGATTTGGAAGTGCACAGAAAGCTGCAGAAAGAACCCTGAAGGCAAAGATGAGCTACTTACATTTAATATGAACTAAAATGATAATACCTTATACTTAAAAGCTAACTTTTTTGCAAGATATTCTGAAGTCTCTAGCTGCATTACCTCTAATCCTCAGAATACATCTGTGAAAATGGTCTCTGTGAGCAGGGTTAAATGTATTGGAAAGAACACGGACAGAAGTAAGGAGGGGTCACTTCTCCATTAACAGCTACTGTATAGAGTGAAAAGTACGTGCCTGATTTCAGAAAGAGCTGATTACACAACTATCTTCTTTACAGTGGAACAGGTCAATCAGATCAAATATCCTTGCTGTTTTGCAGTACCGAAATTGTACGAATTTGTGGTATTGAGAGTTCTGTTACTCTCTAGATTTCCTTGAGAATTACGATGTAAGTAAGGGCAAGAATTAGAGTTATGAGAAGCTGGCTAAGGAATCTTCAAAAGGTAATTTTATGGGAAAATAATAAAACAAGTGATTTTTGTCATCTTGAGGCAGTATGAGGTGAAATACTGAGGGTCTTGCTATATTGGCAGCAGTATTATGGGAGACCAGTGAACCATCTGTAAAGTCAGTCTTGTTAAGGACTGGGAATATGTTTAACCATGAGTTTCAAGGAGGTAGTGAAATAAAATTTACCTACTTACTATGGGAAACAAATGCTATTAAAGCAAATTCCTTCATAGGTTGATGGCAGCATAAATATGTAACTTGCTAGAGATAAAAACAAAGGAGAATAATGGACACATAGGAAAATGAAGAATAAATAATCCACCCACATGTATTCAAATCCAACTTACATTTGACAATTGGGCCAGAAAAGCAAACATCTGCAGGCCCAATTTCAGGTTGTATGATTTTAGATTGAGCTCTCTGATACATAAGAAAAGGTTTTCCAGAAATATTAAAATGTAATTAGAAAATAACATTCAATGGAGATTCTCAACTGTGAGCTCAAACTTTACCAATACTTTAAACACGACATAAAAAGTTACCTAAATGTTAATATGATATTTATAAGTTAAATGATCCATTTATTGAAGGAAATTTCCCTAAGCATCACTTTAACAATTTGGTTATGTTTGTGTTTTATAGGAACTTTAATTCATATTAGCCTTTATTCTCCTGAATTTAGTAACATGAATTGGATAATTTTTTCCTCTAATACTGGCTGTCGGACAGAATAACAGATAAATAACGTTTGGGGTTGAAAACATGGAAAATAATGAACCAAAAGAAAACAGGAAAGTGTGGTTAGGAGGATGAAAAAAGAAGTGAGTGTACCAAACAAAAAAAAAAGTTTTTTTCTTGGCTTATTTTGGGTGTCTAGGGTATCCACAGCAAATATTTTTAGGGTAAGTTGGAGGTCGTGGATTGGAGAACAAGATAAAAATGATTAGAAAACTGTTAATATGGAGATCTTAAGTTAATCTATGCTGCAGAATGAAATTTATAAAGGAATGCAAAAGAACACACTCTAAGGACAGCACCAGGGCAGCAGCAGCAAGGTATAGGAAAATAATAGGAAAAAAACAGTCCTTGGAAAGCATGAGGAGAGTCCAGAGGAAATTGAATCCTAAAATATCAATAGAGAGTGCTGTGAGATTGACCGACCCTATTAGTGATTTTGTGAGACATATTGGTTGCTGCTGATTGATGGTGTTGTAAAACTCAGGAGTTTTTCTCTTTGTGCTGTGAATTAAAAAAGATCAATTGTCAGTAATACTTATTCTTCTATATGTTTAAGTCAATGATTCCTCGTAGTCTTCATAGGACAAACTATGACGAGATAAACCACTAAATAAAACTTAACATCGTGTAGAGGCACCAAGCAAGATGAAAATGATTTGGACACATGAGGGGCAAGAGGTGTGCTGAAAGCTTGTAAGCAGTAATGACAAGGTTTCATTTAGTGTCTCAGTGTGTTTGGTGCATTGGGACATATTGAGGGGTTCATCATTGAGGGTGTCAACTAAATCAAGATGGGAATTGATTTAACAAGACTTATTTTGCTGTTATGTTGCTGTGCTACAAAAAGAAGCAGCATTGCACAAGCTTTTGTTAATGTTTGTCAGAGTGCATGGTTGGATAAATAAGATGTGCTTCTGTGCACAGTTTCTGGTATCCAGAATGAAAGCCTGCCATTGTTGCATAGGCATCATTGAAAACATGACTTGCCTGATGGATTCCCACGTTGACTGTAAATTACAAAGTAAGATTATTAAGCTAGGGCCCCCAGCATATGCCCCCATATGTATGCAATGCTCCTGATTGGAAAATTACTCACATGTGCAATTTTGTGTTGCCTTTTATTGACTATGACACAACACACTTGGAGCATTTGCACAACCAATTGCTCCAAAGAATATTAATAAGAAATGAACTCCAAAAGTGGAGAATAGAAATATATTCACCTGCTAGCCCTCTACTGACGTGTAGATAGATAGTTGAGATGTTGAAAATTTGCAGATTTATCAGATTCTACTAATACATTCTACCTATATCTTTATTTGCCCTCCATTTTCTAGTAATGATATTGAGACTTTTAGCTTTGTTATTTGACACTTTTCCAGAGACTTTTAACTACATATGTGAAGGACTTCCAGTTATTTTAATTAGTCAATTTTTTTTAATTATACATTTTATGACCTAAATAAAGTTGCCAATAAATAATGCATTTCAAAATGAATTAACTTTTCAGGAGAAAAAGAGAGAAATATTTACTTTCAGTACCTAAAGTACTTTGAAAATATGATTCTGTAATTTTAAATATTCTATCAAACAGAACATTATTGATACAGTCAGTCCCCAAGTTTCAGAGGAGTTGTTTTCTGGCATTCATTTGCTAGTCAATCATTTGGAAGTAAAGAAATGTATATATTTGTATGTAAGAAGTGGTGGTTAGTTTCCCTGGCTCAAAATCCTCCTCAGAACAGTGCCACCCGTGGGGATACATTCATACTTGGGTTTTTATTGCTACCTATTTATTGTTCTGAGTTATTGGTAAAGCTTTAATGATAAAACTTGGCCTTATATTTGAACCTTTTGATCCTATTGTTTTGCAATGCTATTTAAACTGATGTGCCACCTCTAAAAGTGTTTGGTTTTGTTTGTTTCTTTTACTCAGATATCGGTAAGCAGTCCGTAGATTTTCTCCAGACCAGTATTATAGGAGGCATATCAGCAAGCATAAGTCAACCTTGTCTACCTCACTTCTTGCAGCAAAACCCTGGCAATTTAATCTCTGACTTTCACTCAGTTTGTCTCTCTATCTATAAAATGCAGAGAATAGTATCTTTATCACAGGATGTCTGCAAACGTTAGAAGGTTTGTGAAGTGCCTGTCACAGTGCCCAGTGTATGCTGAGATACTCAGTATGTGGTAGCCATTTATTTGGGATTCCTTATGGTTCCCGTGAAGAAACTAAGTTCCAACTAACTTGACCAAAATGGGAAATCTATTAGATTATCCATTTCATGAAAAGAGTGCATGATAAAGTGCATTAGACAGGAGCCAATGGCCCTCAGAAATAACCACAACTAAAGATTTAAATGCTGACAACATTTTCTCTTGACCTTTGGTTTCTGCTTGTTTTTGTGTCTTCACTTCAGTGCCTACCTGAATGCTCTAACTTCTCTGATGGCATCATGCGAAGATGGCTATGTTAGCCCACAATACCTTCTTTTTCATCTCTAGTTCTTTAAATCTAGGGAAAGGACTTTGAGTTGACCCTGTTGATTAAGTGGTCTATTCACTGCTAAACAAATCACCTGTGGCCCAAGAATGGAGTCATTCTGAACTAAAATGAACATTCATATGGTGACTGTCTGTGAGGAGAAAATAGACTGGAGTTTCTAGAAGATGGGAGATGGTGCTGAGCAAACAACCCTGTTTCCTACACTTCTAGTTCTTTTCTTTCCGTCACCTTCCTTCTCTTTCTTTTCCTTTACCTGAGAAGAATATGGCCCACTGACAATTGAAAGAACACCAGTTAGACCTGTTTCCTTGTTTCTTATGATTTTCAGCCACAAAAAAGTTGCCCTACATACTCCCAAAATTCCAAATTTCTGCAGTCTAATCATACTTCCATCATTACATTATGGTCATGATTCCCCTACAAGGAGTTCTACAAACATTATGGGGTAAACACCTGACAGAGTAATATGTTTCATAGAAGTATTTTTTCCAGATTAGTATACGTTTGTTGTAAAGAAAAAGAAGTCTTTCCCGAAAGCCAACAGTCTACTCTAGCCGTAGAGGAAGCCCAAGTACATACCCGGCTGTAATTACCGATGTTACTCTTCTCATATAATTTAACGCATATGATCAGAAGTAATATGACCATATTAGTTTTGAACATGGGGAAAATTAAACATTTCTTGCCAGTTTTTATGCTATCCTCCATTCACTAACATATAAATATATATTTTAATTACGGTAAAACTTCATAGCTGTCCATAGAGAAATCTGATGAGAGTCAACGTGGCACTGTGTGAGAGGCACAGTTCTGGGAGTGACTAGCACAGGGTTCAAGTGGTTTTTTCCTTTTTCTTTCTTTCTTTTTTTTGGGGGGGGCTTGGGGGGTTTTTTGGTCTGTATTTCCAGGTGACCGCAAGCAAGTTATTTTACCTTTCTAAGCCTCAGTTTCTACATCTGGGAAAAAAATGGAGATATGAATACTGCTTACCTCATCAGATCTTTTGTGAGAAGTAAGTAAATAATGCATGCACAGTGTCTAGCACACAGTTTTTTGATATAGATTAGTGATGATAAAATGAATTAGCAATCATTTTTACCTCTTGTTGTCTGGTTTTATGAAACTTTTATATGAGGTTGAGAGCAATATACAAATGTCTGTATTGTTTGTTAAAGAGACAGGGAGAAGGAGAAAGATTTTCAATCTAATTTTCATGCCCACTCTTCCTTACAGACTGGACTGTCTCTGTGCTTAGAGGTGAAATTCCTCACCTTTCAGTGTTACATTAATTTTTTTCAGATTACTGGAGCCATTTTGTAAATGGTGCATTGGATGGTAACAAGTGGCCTAAAAGCATTAAGGTAGAGCTTAAGATGTGAAAAATTTTTCTTTCTATATGCTTTATTTCTAGGTAGTTTAACACTATCTGCTTTTTCATATTTTAGTTTATCAAGTCCATAAATTCTTTGGAGAATCATTGCTCTGTTGCAGAAGATTGCTGATTTATGGAGCTTTGTATTCTTCTGCAGCTATTAGGCACCCAGTAAATGCTACTTGATGATAATGGTGGTGTTCTTTCCCCACAAGAAATGGAAATCCAGGAAAGAAAGGCATCACACTGTAATGCTGAATTATCAAATCAAAGATTTTTTTTTTCCATATACAAATGAAAACAGAATCAGGGCTCAGGCATTCTTCTCTTAAATACCGATTCTTCCACTGATGAGAAGTAAGAGACCTTTAAACCATTCCATTAAATAGATTCTGGTCACCTAATGGATTCAAGTGCTTTCTAATGGGAGAACAAAATATTCCCCTTTGATATGTAAGGCTTCACCTAGTGATGGCAGGATGCCTTAAAATGATAATTGCTTCTCAGATTCAATTGGCCATGATATTTATTCAGTTCTCAGTATACACCTTGTTCTTTACCATGCCCTGTGGTACATACAAAAGAAATATGTCCTCCCAAAGCAATATTTTGCTAGATACGTTTTTTATATTATGAAAAAAAAATCTGAAATTCTTAACAACAAAAACTAGGACTCTCCACCCCCTAATTATCTCAAAACCATTTCTTGGATTACTAATCTGTTCAGTCATACCCATAAAACATGGTTAAATCTTTGCAATAGCCAATCTTAGGGACATTTATTCATTGTTCTATTGTGTAAAAATGATAAAATTAAGACAAATGCCTGTTCTAAATAACAGTTTTAGATGAACTAATTATACAGTGAGGCTGACACATATATGTTTTCACTCGTATTGTAGAATTACTTCAGCTGTCTTATGTACACTTAGTTTAATAACTGTATGAGTTATTAAATCACTTGTCACAATGCTTTTTTTAATGAATTGAAAGGAGGCCAATCTATAATTAATCTAAGTTTTCTTTTATTTGGATTAATATCGTTACATAGTTTGTAAAACACATATGACTTCACTCCTATAACCTGTAACATAACTCTTTATTTTTGCTTTTATATTCACCTTTCTAGTCTTTCTACTCTCATTCATAGTTGTAATAAAAATTGATAATGATATGGAAGCTGAAATACATTTCCAATTCGAAAATAGGACATGGCCTTACAAGTATGGGATACCTCATTTAAAAACAAACCTTACAAAACCTTACCTCAAAGACAAACAAACATATGACTCTGATTTAAAACTTGATAGCAAATTGTGCATTATAGAGCTGTGCATACATAGTTATTTTCAGTAACTTGATTATTTATTTTTGTAATATGCCCTACTTTTATTTGTTTTTTAGTTCTCTGAACATGAATAAGCATTTTTCTTTACTTTTCTTAAGGAAAAGAGAGATTTAAAATGTAGGTGCCACCTTCATCTTAATTTTATTCTGCCTTCTACCTACTTTATCTATTTTTTTCCATTTCAGAGCCCAAATTTCATGATGATTCACCAAGCATGAACATAAGATAAAAGAATTCAAGCTAAATGTCACCAATACAGTTAAAAACATGCATCCATAAATTTTAGGACAAATCCAAAATCACCCTGACATTAAATATGTTAGTCCACTCTTGTCAAGCTCTTTTCTTCTTGGTTTGCTTTGACCTAAATTTCCAACCTGATATTCTTATTCAAATGTGTCATGAGGGCAGCCAGATGGCCTGATTTTTCCAGGGCAGAAGTGAAAACGGTTCTGCTTTTTCATGGATTATTTGAAATAAGTTGCTCTTGCAGTGACTATAAATGTAAATTTCCCATCTCAGCTAAGCCACAGAATGGGAGGTTGAAAGTCACAGATTCTGAGTCCTTTGTCTTCAATACTGAGTCATTGTGTAACCTCTGTGGCCTTGACTTCTTGTTTTTCAATCTTGAAAATGGGAATTATAATAAAATAGAGTGTTTTATGTCCTAAGGTTTTGGAGGAAGAATAGTGGAGAAACGTGTAGGAGTAGCAGCAGGTAATTTTTTGAGGACTGGTTAACAGAGACATTGTAAAGTGCCTCAGAGATAATAAGCTCCTCTCCCCCACCCAGTGGGGAGAAAATTGCCCACTATTGGGAGGGTTAGAGGACGATAAGAAAAGAAAAAGAAAAAAAGAACTTTGCTGGTCACAGAGGTACCATTTAGTGCACTGGAGCATAATTTATTAAGTGGACCTTTGTGGCTAAAAAGAGCTAATTCATCTACCAAACTGAGCAAATTTACATTCTTCCCATCTGAAGGATGAGACTCTGCATAGCTAGTTATTCATCTTTTGGGAAATAACTTGGTAAGATATGAGCAATGGAGTAAATCAGCAAAATGAAATGTATTCCCCAAAGCCAAAAACCACAGGCTCCTGGGAAATATACTAAAATATTGTTAATTGTATATCTACAAAAATTCTTGTAAATGCACTCATGTTAATCACTACTGCAGAAGTGCTCTATTTCCTTACTTTTTATAATGTTCCATTTCTTGGAAAAATACAAGATAATTTTAAAAGCAATCAAAAGGGCCAGATTAGTTCATTTTAATTAAATCTTACAGAAAACGGCCTTGTTATAAATGTGAACCCTAGTTAGTGACTTTCTCAAGGTGAGAAAAGCTATACCCAGACCTCCATATTACTACAGTATACTTTGTACTCTACAGGTAGAAACAAATAAATTCCACCATCATTAAGACTGTATGCAGAAAGCTGAGCAGTAGTGGTTTATGTTTTCATAATGAGCTTCTGGTGTCGCAGAACTTCTGTCATAAATTTTATGGAGTTTTCATGGCATCTGTACGTAATGAAATGCCTGTTTTCTCCTCTCTGATGTATCATCTCTAAGCAGAAACCTGTATTTGTGTTTTTGGTATCTAGCTATTACCTGAATCTAACCTAGTCTCCAAAGACTTCTGTCACATTTAGTTTTTGCATGCGAAAGATTTTTCTATAAAAGCTATGACTTATAGATGGAAGGGAAGCCAATTATCAGGAAGCTAAAGGAGAGGGCTAATGTGTGTATTTGGGAGTGGCTAATAGAAATCTTAAAATCTAGACCTCACAGATGTACCAGAAAAGTCTGTTAAAGTTTAAAGTTTTTTTGAATCATGTAGTCAAAATAATGGCCCCAAAGATGTCCATTTTCTAATCTCTGGAATCTATGAATATGTTACCTTATAGGGGTAAAAGAGACTTTGCAGATGGAATTAAGTCTCTTGAGGCGAGGAAATTATGCTGGATTATCTGGGTGGATGCGGTGTAATCACAAGCGTGGGGTGATTATAGGGGTCCTTACGGGTGGGAGACCTGAGAGTTAGGGTCAGAGAAGAAGATGTGGGGAAGGCAGAGTGTTGCAGCCTTAAGCCAGGAATGAGGGTAGCCTTCTGGAAGCTAGAGAGGACAAGGAAGCAATTCCCAGGAACCTCCAGAAATAATGCAGCCCTGCTGACACCTTAATTGAGCCCAGTGAATCTGGTTTTAGACTTCTGACTTCCAGAACCGTCAGAGAGTGAATCTCTGGCATTTTAAGCCAATAAAATATGTGGCAATTTGTTAATAGGAAACTAATACACAGCTGTTAACCTGACTTTTCAACTTTAGAATGTAGAAGTTTGAGGTTTAAATGAAAACACAGTGATTCAGACATGACCCTGAGCCATACTCTTTGTCCTTTTCAAATAATATAGCTAGAATATATCTGAGGGCTACCAGCCTGTTGCATTTGAATAACTAAAGCCAGAGGAGATAAATGACCTGCTTGAGGGAATACAGCTCGTTGGCATCCAGCATGAGGCTAATTTTGGGTTACTTGAGACTCTTAGACGACCGATACGTAATTCTGATCAAACTACCTCTGTTTCATGATATGAAAGCATTTGTCTACAAAAGGCCAGTGTTTAAGAGTGTTTTTAAATGTGATAAGGAATAGGGGTAAAAGTGAATGTGAAGGTGATGGGGGAAGGCTGGAGAGGGGTCACTACAGAACAAGAGTTTGTATCTGCCCTGCTAAATTCCAGACTGGGTAGATAGTCGTGAATGGATTAGCCATGACCCCTGCCCTCTTGGTACCTAAGAGTTAGGAAAGCAAACATAAACAAATATAATTATAATTAATTAATAACTTACAAGGAGTAAGATCCTACAAAGAAATCTTCAATCACAAAAAATAAGGAATTTTTCTCTTAATCTATATGGTCTTTGAATAAGATGATGACAGAAAAAGAATTTAGTTTCACCCAGAGACCATTATAATTTTGAGCTATTGTTTTTGCTCTGCAAAGATTTAAAATCACCTTTTACTCTGGGGAAGGATGGATATATGTGTTTTTCAATGTCTTTTGAAACATACTTGTGTGTATTTTAGAAGCTCAGGTTTGTTAATGACACTTCACTGAAATACCATCAGTTTCTATGGAGACACTAACTATTGTGCAGTTAAGAGGGGGAAAAAAAGACTCCTCTGCTTCCCTGTGGCTTTAAAACTGTTTTACTTGTTTTCCTAGTCCACACATTCAGAAATAAAATTTAAACAGTTTTCTTTTCAAGCAATATTACTTGAATGCCAATAGGATTCTCTTTAATTTCACAAAGACTATAAATGTTTGCAAATTAAACACAGTCCAACAGAAAATGAGATCTTCCCTGACCATCCCATTTTAATGGCAAAGATAGTATTTCCTCTGTGTGATTTATAGATCGAGAAGTTTTTTGGCATTCTATTATGTAAGTTCCTTTTTAAATAACTTATACGTTAAACACTACCAATAACTTCAACTTTGGACTCATGCACAGCTGTGGTGTGTAGATAACTTCCATTTATATTAACTGAAGTTACATTTGCATGCTAGTAGGAAAAAACCCTTTATATAACCAAATTAGTACAAAGCTATATGAAAGAGCACATCTTTTCTACTTAGAAGAGGCATGGCAATTCTATTTAATAAAGAAATTCACATTAGTGTTTGTTTCCTTGATTCTGATGGGTCCATTCTGTTTTCTTTTGCATCATTCATTTTAAATAAGTCTTTTTTTAAAAAGTATTTGGTAAACAACAGACAGGATTGCCTGCTCTGAACTCCGATTTTACACTGGCTTTACTTACTGGGTGAATCTTTTGATTCATTTTGATTCCTCCTTAAAATAGGATTCTCAGCCTTAATAAGGGTTTTTTTTTAAGTTCTATGAAATACTGAATCACATACATATCAGTAAATATTATGGTTGGTGAAGGCTTAAAACCATTCCTAAAAATGGTTGTAAGAAGTAAAAAAAAATTACTCCTGAATTCATACATTCAAATGCACTTCAGTATCAAAGTTAAACGTTAAGTGTTAGCAGTGAATCCATGGAGATAGTGTCATACTTTGCAGTCTGAGTCCTTTTAAGTAGCACAAGGCCTTTCAGCATAATTAGCACAGAATATTGAACCCTGCCAGAAATATGGGATTCGTCATTAAATTTAGAGGCTTCTTTATCTCTCTGAGTCTAATCATGTGTGCAGAAGACTAATTGTTAATAGCATGGTCTTTATTGCTCATAGCTTTCTTTCATTTTAAATGGAATGGTCTGCTTTGTGAGAAATAATTAGGTTTTATAGGCCTACCTGCATAGAGCCTTTTGTTGAATGTCTTATGCTTTTGCCAATTCAGATCCTGAGAGCAATTAGGGGCTGTGGCGGAACTGTTCCTTAAATCACACACATATTGTGTTATTGCCTGCCTGCCATTTATTTACTTATTTATTTATTTATTTGACCTGCAGTAGCAGATGCAGACGCTTCAGTTGCTTGCGATTACATGGGGTAATTGTTAGCCAATGCAAAACCTTGGTTTGGGAGACGTAAGCCAGGGAGAGGAGCATGTTATGTAAATCCGCCACATGGCAATGTGTCCTGATATCTGACATTGTCCCCGCAATTACTATGTTCTGAATTGTAGAAGAACAAGTCTTTAACTCTTCTCTAAAATGTCAGGGAGGTTTCATTGTTTAAAATGATGGTCAGAGTTGGTCAAACAGTAGTCTTTAGAATGTATGGATTTGTCCAACCAAAATACTTTATTTGCTTTCCATAGTCAGTTAGGAATTATTTGTTGTTCAATGAGGTCAGTAATGATTGGGGACGCTTTTCAAAAGTGTTCATAGCAGTTGTCACAATCAACATTTCATTTCTGAGAGTTCAATTTATATGATGAGTCAGAGACTCCCCTGGTGAGATCTGATAGAAGCATTGTCAAAAATCTTGTGACGTTTAATAGTATTTTGAGAGAAATTCGTGTTATGGTGGAAAATTTTGCTGAAAAATTTTGGCTACTTTGCCTCCTTACTTTCTCCATGACACAGAAGGACTCAATGAGACCACTGTTAATAATTTAATGATGATGAAAGTCACTGTTGTTTCTATATTAAAATGCCTATAAAAACTGCCTGTTATTTGAAGTTGTTAAATAGTGGCAGAGTTGGTATTCACTTTCCAAAACTCTCCCGTCAAATGACAGGAAACTGTGTATACTGTTGCATTTGACTTGAACTTAACAGTGCTCTTTCTTCTCTGTATCTTCAGGATGTTAGCCAGTCACCATTTGCTCAGGCAACTCTACTCCTGCTACCGTATAATCAATAACAGTCAGGGTACTTTCAATCTTGACAATTTTCTTTAGTGGAAAATTACTTTGCATAGCTTTTTACCATCCCAACTGACAAGCCATCTTTACTGAAATCTACAGTATCAGGCATTGTCAACCTCAAAAAGGCACTGACAGCTTTAGACATATGCATGTACAAATCAATGTTATTTTTCAACTAATATGCTTTGGAAACTCTTCTTTTAAAAAAAAACTGAAAGAATAGAAACTAGTTAAATTTGTGACTTAAATCTGGTGGCAAACCTGAAGCTAAGTTTGAAAAACGTCATTTGAAGTTGCAGGATCCACAGTGAAATATACTGGCGGGGAGTAGGGTGGGCCTGTCATTTTTTATATAAATAAATAGGTCATTGTGAAAATGTTTTCACAGCAACCAGTGGTACTAAGTTTTTTCTTTTCTTTTCTTTTCTTTTCTTTTCTTTTCTTTTCTTTTCTTTTCTTTTCTTTTCTTTTCTTTCTTTCTTTTCTTTTTTCTTTCTTCCTTCTTTCCTTCCTTCCTTCACTTCTTTCTTCCTTTCTTTCTTTCTTCCTTCCTTCCTTTCTTTCTTTTTCTTCCTTCCTTCCTTCCTTCTCTCTCTCTCCCTCACTCTATCT